TTCATATTTACATTTTGGTTTTGTTTAAAAACATTTTGTAGGAGTGATTCTTTTTTGCATCAAAGTCATAATTATGGCAAGGGAGGAAACTTCGTTCGAGTTCATTGATCTAAGACATTTGGAGTGCTCCTATGGCCAGACGTGGTCATTATATCTTGGAAGATGATTGTCGAAAAATCGTTAGCATCGATGCGGGGCAAATTCATCTTAAAGAAATAGTGTTTCACTTGCTTTTACATCTCCTCTATCTTCTTTATGATTTCTTTACATTGTATTTGATTTCAAAAATACTAATTTTCTTATTTTTATATGAAAGGTTTTAATTGAAGAATGAAATGGCTTTCATCGAAGTATGGAAAGTCACGAAGTCGTCTACATATACATACTCGGTTTCGTAAGTCAATTCTATATTGAATTTTATGCTTGTGTAGAAGATATGTTGAATAATATGTATGCACATATTATCGTTAATATGTTTAAGGATCCCCAACAGTCTTGAAATGAATTTTTTTTTGTTCATTTTATATTCTAATCTGAATTTCCATATTATATACAGTAAGTTATATGCTCGTATGGCTTAGAATTTAAGTATGATATTCTATGCAATTGAATATAACTCTTTGGTAGAAGTTTCAAATATGAAACGGTTTGATCTTTTTGAATTGGGTGTGTTTATTTAACGTGGATTCAATTCATAACGGCCATCAGTCTATATGCAAGAAGGGATTCTCCATTTATTCGTTGCCTATATCATGAATTCCATATAAAATTATTTGATAATGGTGCCTTCTCATATTCATGCGAACCATTGTCTTCTTTGTTTTCTCTATTACATCTTGCAACTATGAGAGTACATGACTTTTCATTGGATGCTGTTATTGCGGCTTTTATATTCAGTTTGCCATTTGTGTCAATCTAAAATTCTGCATTCCAATGACATTGGTAATTGCATCATTGATATGCCATTTTTTTGGAATTGATGAAGCACGTTATCAAATTCAAAGGTTCTAATTTAATATTGTGTTCTTAATACTTTAATGCATTAAAAGTTTATGTATTTAAATTTTGAAGTGTCGTAAATCAGTTTCTGAAATTGGTAACTTGTCAATATGGAGTTACAAAAATTGGATTTTGAAGTAAATATAGAAGTACATTGACTTCCACGAGACATTGACATTCCTAGTCATATTATATGTTGACTATAAATGGAATAAATTTATACTACCTCCGTCCCAATTATATAGGTTGAGTTTCATTTTTCTCTTGTCCCAAATATATAGGCACATTTTCTAATGTAGAATATTTTGTAGTGTTCTTTTACCAATATACCCTTATTAAATTTTCTCCACTTAATATGTCAACTTCTTAAAATCATCCCAATGGCCAATACACACATTTCTCACTTCTTGAAAACATGGAACAACTCTCATTTCTTCTTCTTCTTCTTCTTCAAATTCTTTACTAGTTCCAATAATAATTTAGTTTTATACACAATGATAATTAAATAGGGGTACATTATGAAAGTTCTTGGCAAAATTAATTTTTCAATGACATTAAAGAAATTTCTTAATTCGTATAAAAAACGAAACAATCCTATATAA